ACAAGAATAAAGACAAAGGGAAGACGTGACACCATAATTTGATTTTGATCACGTTGGATATTTACCTGTGGCCTGTTTTTGTTTTCTTCTGTGTTACGTAAAATACAAAAAGATTATTCATCGGATAAGCTCGAACGGTTCGTAATTCACGCAATCGTAAAGTCAAGGAGCCCAGCTAGCGGATGCCATAATCCACGTGTCACGCCTACAACAATATTCCAAAAAGAAGTGGAAATTAAATTAGTACACTGCACTGAAATTCCCTTGTGGCTTGAAATAGGAAGGGCCAGTTCATGGTAAAAAAAAAAAGAAATAGGAAAGGCCGGGGAACTTTCGGGATGACCGCTTTTGTGGGTTCCCCACCAGTTAAATGGGAGTGGTAATGATGTACTGTGCACCTTATCTTAGTGGATTGTAGCCACCCAAATAAAGCTCTTGATATGGACGCATTCACTTCACCTAAATCTATCTAATCTTCTCACATTCATTACTGTGTATCTGTATCTGAATGTGAACATGTTTGCCTCCGTCTTTTGCATTTAATTCTAAGCTTTTTCCTTTCTATTTGGAGATGCACATATATATAGTTATACACACACACCTTTATTTACTTTATTCTCATGTGGTGGGGCTGAGAATCGATGCTCTCAAAAATCTTTACTTTTCTGCTTTCGTAGTTTCTCATAATGAAACCAAAAGGAACGAATCATGACAGAGATCATCGATCACCATTCTTCCAATGCATATACTACCGCTTATTGTAATTATAAAATTTTATTTGTAATCCATAACTAAGTTCTTATAATTAGTATCAGAAGCAGTATATTAGATAAGATTATTAATAGGGTTAAGATGCACCCTGTACTCTAGACTATTTTTTCAAATGCAGAATACAACGATGATAGCTCCACTACCAGTGCTTTCATGGCTTCCAAAGCTAAAGCTGGCATTAGCAGTGACAGTTTCGTAAATACGTGGGTCGAATGAGGCAAAAGTCGCCATTTCAATGGTACTCAATGGAGAAGATACGCATCAGCTACCTATGTGTCTGCCACGTAGGATACTTGGGGTCAACTTTGAACTAGATCATGAATTTAATGGTCAAACATAATATTTCTGTTAGTCTGAGATATGTGTGCACCATTTTAATTGATTTAAGACGCTAGATGTACCAAAAATTACATTAGGACACTAGATACACCTGAAAAAATAGTTCAGGGTACTGAGCGCACCTTAACCCTCATTAATATAAAGATTAGTTGACTAATTTAAGTAGATCAAGAAAATTAATAGAGTTATTTATTTATAATAACTAAGTATTGTCTTTTCTAAAATACCCTTATTCATCATGTATAGAACTATCTCTAAAATACCCTTAGTCATCATGTATAGAACTATCTTTTGATGAAACCCTTAATAAGTATAATTACAACAGAAACTATTTTAAAAAAATAAATAAAGACGAGAGACAAAATAGTTTGGAATCTTATATTTAACAACCTCAATCTTGTTTTTATATTATATTAAGGGGATGTTTGGGTAGAAACTAAACTATAATTTTAAAAATATTTTTATAATATACAAAAAAAAAAGTGAAACAATTTACCTATTTTACGAAAAGTATTTTTGGTTGTTACCAAACACCCCCAGTGCTTCTGAAAATCTTCACCTCTTCTACATTTTCTGCGCGACATATAGCCGGATGAGGTGTCAAGCAACGGATGGTCTTGCGCTCCCTAAGTGACAGATAGCCGATTACATGCAAATTTTTGTTTTAAAAAATTATTTTTTATTTTTTTTATTATACTGTACTTTAGTTTGAAATAAATCATACTACTATGTCATTAGTGAATATTATGAACTGATCAATAACTAAAACATACAGAAGGAGCAAGTTAATTAAACACGCCATTTGTTCGCAAGTGACGTACTATGTCTTGACTATAAATTAAAGATCCTGAAATCTTGATTACGGTTATATATATATTTTAAACTTAATTACTGCAATTAAATCTAAGATATACTTAAAATACATGCTTCGCTCCATGAAAAAAAACAAGAATAAAAAAAATCATCGACATATAAAGGAAGAAGATAGAGATAGTGATATGAAGTTTTGTTTTATGAAAATTTTTGACATTGTTGTGTTTCCACGGTGAACGTATTGTTTGAAAAAATCAATTTTATCCCCTCCGGAGACTAAAACCCGTTGACCATAATAGTTCCAAACTAAACGAATTGCACGCTATTTTCTTTTTAATCTGATATCAGTATCAGAACCCTTTAAAAGAAAAAAAAAAAAGAACATGACAGACAAGGACCCCAATATCCCAAACCCATACTTATTTAATTCAAATTGAAGATTCTTGTCGGCATTAATTAAATAATTAATTTGGTGTGTTGTCAATAAAAAACTCAGTTTTTGATCTCGCAGACGCCGGGGAGCCCAGTTTTACCAATTAGTTATGGTTACGAAAAAGAAGAGACAAAAATCAGTTGGTTTCAGCACGACAAGTCCCAAATAATTATTATGTGATTAAGCATGTGATTAGCGTGTGATTAGCATTCGCAGTTCATGATTTTTAATATCAGTAGCTTTTCCGATAATATCAAAACATGAACCAGAGAGAAAACTGAACTTTGCTCCCCATTTCTTAATTGTCTTTGCACACCTGCACCATATAGCTTACTTTAAATTTATATTTCTTACAATACGTATTTAATTTAAGATCAATGAAAGGAAACATCCACCTGAAATCCCCGCACTTGCTATGAAAAAATTGTTTTTTTGGGCAGCCATTTGTTAAGAAAATATTCACACCTAATTTGCATTAGTACATACTATAATTTCTTAATTAACAATAACATGTCTTAGCGCCAACCTTATTGAGCGAGCAGCCCCCATTACCTGATTCTGTTTATCTTAAATGATTTACATTGTAGGAGAGAAACATGGGAAAAAAGTGTTATCTGGTGAAGTTACAAAATAATTTTTGAAAGTGATCCCAAAGATCCATGAATTTTTTTTTTAAAAAAATTAAAGTATACATTTGGTCTTTTAACTTTATGTAAGATTTCAGTTTGGTTCCTTAACTTTAAAAAGTATACTTTTAGTCATTTAACCCCAAAATTGTTAGTCTTAAATGAGGATTTTTTTTAACAATCATGGTTCTTTTGAATATTAAACTTAATATGCTAGTATTTAGTAATGTTTTATCAGCATTCAAGAGCTCAATATCATCATTTTTTGTTAACAGTTTTAGGGTTAGAGGATTAAAAGTTTACTTTTTAAAATTAAAGGATCAAAATGAAACATTGTGTAAAGTTAAAGGACTAAAAATATACTTTAGTTTAAGAAAAACTATTTTGCATGCATCAATATTTTTCCTCAATATATTGTATTTATATTTTTAAACATTTTTTTATCAAATTTCCTAACTTTGCTCAGTGATTTACGGTGCTAATAGAACAAAATTACAAGAGTAGTAAGTGTTCACATGGCGAAGTTGCAAGACTAATGTGTATATAGTGCCAACATAACACAATTAAAGAATTAAATAAAAAATATTTGTACCAAGTTACAAATTAAAGGAAAGTACTACATAATTACATGTAAAATGTTTTTGTGTCAATTTTTTTTTTTGAAATTGTTTTATGAGGAATCAGAACGAAAGAGCGGGGAAGACTTCATGGAGAGATGAAATTAACGGAGGAACGGAAATGCTATATTTTAGCTGTTTAGGCAAGTGAAGGCAACTATGGATTGGTAGAATCATGAAAATAACTTGAAGGTGAATGTTATTAGTTGAGATGGTAAGAAAGAGAAAAAAAATTAAATTTTGACAAATGTACTTGTTAGTAGAATTTCAATCAATACTTCTGCCTTAACACTTTTGGTTTGATAAAAACTAACTTAAAAGTATTCATAGATATTAAAAGGAAAAAAAAAACTCGAGAGTGGGTCATGATTTATTAAAGTGAAAGCGAAAGCCACTGGCAACTTGATCCAGTGACATGTATGCGTGTGTAGGGTGTGTGTCGCGGGTTCGAACCCGCCCTCTAGCTACTTACAAAAAAAGTGAAAGCGAAAACAGTGAGCGCTGGCATACCGGAGGCCATAGGCGGTCCGAGGCCTGAGATTGACCCGGTAAAACCGCTGGACGCAGCGTGTAGAGGGTCGCCAAAGCAGGTCAAAGTGATCGACACGTGGCCAGTGGTCCGCTGGGGTTAGTGGCACGGCCATCGTGGCAATCGGCAAAACCCCTCTCCCTTCACGCGCTTTCCACTCCACTCCCACCCGTCTCATTTATTCGTCGCGTATGCCTCACGTGACCGTCCCGCCTCCAACCACGCACGGGACCAGCGGACCTGCTGCTAAAATTTCACGACATCATGAGGATTAATGAGTGCTTCATGTTATGTGGGAAAAAAAAAACAAGAAAAAAGAAGAAGAAGAACAGGTCAATGAGCGAGAAATTTCACTCACCCCACCTCACAGCAAAGAAATTTCAGTAATGGAATCTGGCTGCCTTGTCAAGTGCTCCTTGCACATCACGTTTAGTTTCCATTGTTGCTTACCACGCGTATCAATCGCTAATTACAATCATTCATTCTCAGACTTCTCATCACCATCAGCCCCTTTTTCCCATTTCCCTTTTTTTTTAGGGGAATTTACATAGTGGGTGAAAAATTGAAAATACGATTAGGATACGAGGCAGGTCACGGCGTCCACGCTCTAGAAAAAGTGCGGGAGTATGGTTGGAGGCAGAGGTGTGGAAAAAAGGACAGTGAGTCACGAATGAGACCCCGCTTCGAACGTGTGGTCGGCGTTGTCAATCTTTATTCCACTCCGTTAGAAATGCCCCTCCGCTCCATAACGATTCTTCACTGCTGCCGTTACCGTTATCGTCCTTACATACGCTTCCATCCGTCCCCCACCTCTTCCCCTCTATATAAACCATTTCATTCCCGCTCCCCTCAACTTACGGCTCGGAATTTCGGCTCTCCCCTCCAAGTCATAGTCATATTCTAAGCAAAAGCACTCCCGCTTTCTTCTTCTTCTTCCTGTTGAATTCCACTCACCTTTCAGGTAATTTCTTCTACTTTCTTATTCATTTTCTTCACCATTTCTGCTCCTGAAATACGAATTATCAAGTTCATTTGATCCAAAAATAAGCACATGTCGTTTCGCTTTAAATGCTGCGTCAGCCTGTGTTTTTTAGGTACTCGCCACCAGTACTGTGGGTTGGGTTGGTGTTCTCGTGACATACATGTTCTTTTTTTTATTGTTATTATTAATTTGCGTTGATTCAATATTTCACACTTCGAACGTGGGCCTGTGGGCTTCTTCCAATGATGCTATGGGGTTTTTGTTCCTTGCTTCTTGCATCTATCTTCTGTGATTACTCTTCTTACACTTGTGAGCTGGAATTGTTTGATCGAATTGCAACAACCTTCGTTTATTCCTCTAGTGTTTTCAGAAGCTACCTGGGTCTAGTATTTTTCCTTCCGGTATTTTGATTTCGTCTGCATATAATTGATAAGCGGACTCAAAGTTAGGAAGAAAGGTTCAGGGTTGTGATCCAATTTTCCGCTTGGATAGGAAGAAAATTGTTTACATAAACTTTCCATTTGAAAATCACCTTCCTGGTAAAGGCCCAGTCACCAACGATTAAACAACAGCAAATAACTGGTTTACTTCGATGACTTGATTCAGTCACAGCCCATGAGAACATGATTTCCACCGGTTGTTTTGGAACTGAAATGAGTAGCTCTCACTTGATTTGGTGTTGATTCTCCACCATATTGCTGTGAAATCTCTTGTACACTCACCGCCTGTGTTTTTTTGGTTCTGGCGCGCAATCCTAAAGTAGTCTAGTCATTATTTCATTAAAAAACGCGAATATTTTCTCTTTATTTATTTATTAAATTACATGATTGATAGGTGTGTTAAAAACTTAATTTGGTTATTTTCTAAGTCAAATCCTGATTTAGTCCAGTTTCCATCAATCATTTCTCCCTGAATCCGTTAGCCAGACTCGGGGCTATGCGTATGCTTTACGTTTGTCTTGATCTACACTCTTCCTTTACGCTTGCCCATTTTATAGCGTTATATCAATGCTTTTAGTGAGTGGTATGAATGAAGATATTCACAAATTTTCCCACTGTTGGTATTGCAGGTTTATCTTCTATTTTATTCAAAGAGGTTTTTGGGTTGAAGTGCGAGGCCGATACTTCTCTGATTTTGCTGCTGATCTGCCCTGCTAAGTTCTCTTTTCGCACAAGAAGGCTGATGCCTTAATCCTAGTATGGACTTGCAGCAGCTGTTCAGTTTTGGCGTGAGTGGGCCAGGCCTTCCATACACGCCATCATATTCCACTATCCCTTCACTGCCTACAAAGTTTCTTGGATCCTTGAAATTTGACACAGGAAACTCACCTAATTCACCCTTTTCTACTCAATTTGATTCTGATTCTCTCTCTACATTGAGCGACGGCCAGGAGCAGCACGGCTCTGGGGAGATTCTTTCTGGTTTCAACCCTTCATATAACTCTTCTTTGGAAACTCATTATTGCTTAAACAGGTCAATCTCGCCTGTGGACTGTCTTCAGGACAGTCTGCATCCATATTTTGCCAGGAGTTCTGCGCAGGATGCAAGTTCTAGCCAAAAGATCAGGCACGCTTTGCTGGAGTTAGAGTCTGCTTTGATGGCCCCTGATGAAGGTGATGTAGTTGCCACATCAAATACTTCTTTGAGCGGGAATAGCAGGCCTACAATTTCTGGCCAAAGATATGGGTGTTGGAGCCAGGAGCACCAAGGATCGCATTACGCTCAAAGCCAGCCATCTTTTTACTCCGCCATTGGGCAGTCAAATGAAGTTGAACACGTAGAGAAGCGTCACAAACTTACGGAGGAAGCATGTCTCCAGGGTTTCCCACCCAGCAATTTAAAAGAATTGTTAATTGCTTGCGCAAAAGCCCTCTCTGAAAGCAACATGGAAGTTTTTGATGACTTGATTGAGAAGGCTAGAAGTGTTGTGTCCATCTGTGGCGAGCCAATCCAGCGGCTTGGTGCCTATATGGTAGAAGGGCTTGTTGCTCGGAAGGAGGCATCAGGAAATAGCATATATCATGCCCTGAGGTGCCGCGAACCTGAAGGCAAAGACCTGCTCTCGTACATGCACATGCTGTATGAGATTTGCCCGTACTTCAAATTTGGTTACATGGCTGCCAACGGAGCCATCGCTGAAGCTTGCAGAAATGAGGACCGCATTCACATCATAGATTTCCAGATTGCCCAGGGAGTTCAGTGGGAGACACTCCTTCAAGCTCTTGCTGCAAGGCCTGGTGGGGCACCCCACGTCCGGATCACCGGAATCGATGATCCCGTTTCTCGATATGCACGTGGTGACGGCCTAGATGCAGTTGGGAAAAAATTGACCGCAATATCGGATAGATTTGGTATCCCAGTTGAGTTTCACGGGGTGCCTGTGTTTACTCCAGAAGTTACAAGGGACATGCTTGATGTAAGGCCAGGAGAGGCTTTGGCTGTGAACTTCCCCCTGCATCTGCATCACACAACTGATGAGAGTGTTGATGTGAACAACCCGAGGGACGAACTGCTGAGAATGGTGAAGTCACTTGGTCCCAAGGTGGTCACATTGGTGGAACAGGAATCCAACACAAACACAACGCCATTCTACAACAGGTTCTTAGAAACACTGGACTACTATTTGGCCATGTTCGAGTCAATTGATGTCACGCTGCCGAGAAATAGCAAGGAGCGGATTAACGTGGAGCAGCATTGCTTGGCGAGGGACATTGTGAACGTCATTGCGTGTGAAGGGAAGGACAGGATAGAGCGACACGAGCTGTTGGGAAAGTGGAAGTCAAGGCTGACAATGGCGGGATTCCGACAGTATCCATTGAGCTCTTACGTGAATTCTGTGATCAGAAGCCTACTTAGGTACTATTCAGAGCATTATACGCTAGTGGAGAAGGATGGGGCTATGCTGTTGGGTTGGAAACACAGAAATTTGATATCAGCCTCAGCCTGGCATTGATGGACTGAAGAAGTCGATGGCAGTAGCATTGGTTAAATATTTCGCTGACTGAAGTTTGTGCTGAATACGATGTATGTTTGATCACTGTATTTAGGTTTCTGTTCCTTAGATTTGTTCATTGAGAGTATATTTGCTAGTAGCTCTGTGTACTGATTCTTTTATGAAATTTTTAGCAACGTAGGCTGGTTTGGTCTCCAAGATGATGATAATAAAAACGTATTTTTCTCTATAAACACTAGTAGAAAGTTAACGATGTTGTTTAAAAGCATGGGCGTGCCTTGTTGCGACAAGTTATGAAATGAAATCACACGACCACCTGACCTGGTATTTCATTTTTAACAGTTCATGTTATCCAGCATGTACTTTGTGAATTGGGAACTTTACAAACAGAATCGGCAGGTTCACTGGATTCTGCATGCAAGCAAACCTTTTGAATCGGGAGCAATCGAGGTGAAGGGAAAAGAACTTTGTTTTCCTGAGACATCTAAAAATAAGCAAACTTTTGTGAATCGGGAGCGTCGAGATGAAGGGATCGGAGCAGAACTTTATTTTCCTGAAACGCCTAAAAATAAAGCTGAATCCGCGTAAGTGAGCGATTTGGTTTTGGGATTTTCCAGTGGAATCAAAGCCGAGGCAACAGTAATAGTGAAAGGCATCAAAGGCCATGTCCCCCACTGTTTGCAGCAAGCATTCCAACTTAATTTTCCAGTGTTTCTTATCCTTCTTGTTCAAAAGATAATACCATTTTTACTTAAAAAAGGGTAAAACTGTAATTTTAAATTTGATTTTATTTCTTAGGTGTACTCAACATTCTGATTTTTTAGTGGTCCAAAGTACAATTTTACCCCACATCCAAAGATCAGGGGAAAATGTAAAATTGCACAAAAAAACCATAGGTAAAATTGCAAAAACAAAAAAGATTACGGTTAAAATTATACCGCTAAAAAGATCGGGTGCTAAATGTTCCAAAGAAATAAGATAGGGGTAAATAATTACACCTTTACCCAAGGGGGGGGGGAAGGCATTCCAACAATCCAATTAAGATGATCCCTCATCATCTACTAGTTAATTTAGCTCCTTAATTTACTAGTCTACATTAATTCTGCGGGAACTAGGCAGTTTGGAAGAACTCAAGACCTGTTTGAAATGATTTATAAATAGTTTTTTAATTGTGATTTACAAGATACGAGATGAATATATGAGAGAAACTTTGTCTCAACTTACATGAAATGTGCTTATGAGTCATTTTAAACGCCATACTAAACAAGCTCTCAAATGTGGAGTCTAACAGCAATTTCTATTTATTACAGAATTTTAGGCAGGGCTTCTTACTCAACTCAAGCCAAAGGCATGGCGCTTGAATGGCTCTTCCTAAGTAATATCAATGTTAGGCAAGGCGAATTTATATTATATCCTCAAGTGTTTACCTGGGCACCCCCGTTTTAGGATGCCTCCCCAAGTTCTGTGATGGGAAATTGAACACCCTCTTTTTTGGGTGAGAGAATGTAGTTCCTTTTTTTTTTTTTGGCTAAAGCATAGGTATCCTTTTATTGGAGACAATCCTATTCGAGGCACTGTCGGGTACTAAATGTGGGCACTTCTCCCAGCAGGAATTCAAATCTTAGTTTGTTACGTTGTGAAGAACTAGTCCCTTCTGTTAGACCCAATTCTGATTGGTTGTAGTTCCTAATGTCAACTTACGGAGGATGGGTAGTCTAACAGCAATTTTGCTCGGTTATCATAATATCGTTACATATTTGGGTTTAAAGAGCCTGACATGGTTGAACCCACTCGTCATCAACGTTTGGATCCAACTATCGTTGGGCATGGGCCAGCGGCTGTGTTTTATAAGTGATGGCCGGATCTACATGCCGGATTAAAACAGTTTTTGTTAGTATTGTCATGACCCAATGCCATAAAAGCTTTCCTGTAAATGAAATGTTATGGCTGGATTTCACTTGTAAGTTTAAGATGTTAATGCATATCCTTTTCAATAAGAAATTACTAATACAACTTTTTTCATGAGGATTAAAATGTTGACTTGATTTTTTTTAAAGAAAAATATTTTTTCTGGTGATAATTACAAATGGACCAATGATGAATCAACCACATTTTTCATGTTAAAATATTTTACCTGACCCCTTAGAAGTACGCTATCATTCCGTAATATGATAAAGACCGTAATGCATAAATGATTCAATCCAACATTTTTAATCTTAATTTAAAAAAAAAAGGAAAATTAACATTACTGATAAAAAAGTTTGCATGAATTTTTGGATTAAATATACATAAAATGAACAAAATCAGATAAAATACAAGCAATAGACGATGGATGCCTGTTGGTGGCATTATGCCATAATACTAGTACACACCTTTTAAGCATCTCCTAAGCACAAAATTACAGGTTCAACCCTCCATGTATTAATTATTAAATAAGTGAAAATGTCACTTAAATTATCAAAAACCCGACCATGTTATGCTCTTCTTCAAGTTTGGTCGCTATTCCTTTTTATTTTTTGTTGAGGCCTTTTTTTTAAAAAAAAAACACAAAAACAAAAAGCTCATTTGGTAATTTAATTTCTGTGTTTTTTAAAAAATAAAATATTTTTTAAAAACTAAAAAATTAAAACAAGTGTTTTTTTAATTTAAAAAAAGCAGGGAAATTTTTCTTCCCCACTCACCTACCAATCCCCGTGCTTTCGAGTTGGCTCCCATCACCTCACCACCGGTGAAGGTCATTGTTCGCCACGTGTTCCTAATGGACGCTGCCACTTTATTGTCGGCAGGAACTTGAGACGAAATTAGTGACTTAATGGAATTTGATACTAATTTCGCCAATAATGAACTCTTGAAAATTTTCCTTTTAAATTTGTGTCTGGTTCTTGGTCGATAGCTTAATGAATACTTCTGCATGGTTCTGTCATGTGTTTTTCTATCTAAGCATGTCCCACATCATATGAGATATGAATGTAATTAAATTATGACTTGTATTGTTTCATGTAACAAATACTTACACTATTTTGTAATTTTATTTTTGGATTGGATAATAATTTTTATTTTTCTCTTTTAAATGTGATTTTTCAAAATAATTATCCAAACAATTTTTTTGGTTTTTTTAATTATCCAAACTCGTTTTAAAAATAATTTTATAAATTATTTTCCCATTCAGATATTGTCTACTTTGTGCAAATGACGTAATAACTAGTTGGCTTAACAATATTATAAAATTCTTACAAATCTCATTGTTCGTGCAAGATCTATCCCCCGAAATCTAATTAATGAAGGACTTTTCATACCGCCACGCCATAAGGGCATTGGCAGTGACTCTGCTTTTCCACAAATCACAAATGTCTCTGCTCATTCCCAAATATGGATCTTTTTTCAATTCATTATCACTTGCCTTCGCTCAAACAACTCATAGCGAACTCAACGATTTAACTCATATTTACGGTTTTTAACAAATTTTAATTAATTTTTTAAGTTAAATGATTTATTTATTGGATTCTTATATTTTGAAGTGAAAGGAGTAAAATAATATTGGAATTCAGTGTAATTAATAAAAATTATTTAAATTTTATGGTGAATTTAATAGTTTGCTCTAGAAGCCTAGCCAGAAGACTTCCCACTACACGCCAAAACTCAATAAGAGATATGGAAAAACACGGGGGTGTAAGGCTCCCTACTTTTGGTCTGTTTGAGCGTCACGTTGGTTTTGACTTTTGAGGATAATCATCCTACCACGTGTCACGTGTTGAAATCGACCTTCGGACTAGAAGGGTCGAGGACCACCCCCCCCCCAAAAAAAGCTCGCATTGATTGGGTATATCACCTATAGTTATTTTTAATGTACTTTATCGGAATAAAAAAATTTTAAATCTCATTTTGTTTTAAAATTTAACAGCACAGCTTTTCAACATTAACCTATTTAATATAAAGAATATAACAATTTACATAATAATAAATTGAGAATAAAATATTATCCTCATGTTAAAAATTTAATAATATGACATACTTATGAATATAACAAAACATCGTTTTTTTTTGGTTGTCTTATAATCAGAACTAAAGGATTAAATTATTGTTTTTCTAGATAGCGAAGCCCATTGATTTGTGCATATTAGAGAAGGTACTCCCCCAGGGGTAGGAAGTAGTCAACTGGTTTGGTTTAGTTGAGATTGTGAATCTGTTGAAGTCATGATTAATGAGTTGTTTGCCGTCATGATGATGATATTTATGTAAAAGCCTATGTGAAGACTTGATCTCCTATTTGCAAATAAAAAAAATTCATCGAGTTTTTCAGCTTCTGTTTGAGGGTTCATTTTATTTCGTCCTCGCATATCAATTATACAACATAGATTGTCAAACACACTAGTTTTTTTAAGCTTCAAAATTTGAATATAAAATAAGGGACAAGGCAGCTAGAGATTTGGAGAACGGAGAAGGGAAAAGAGAGAAGGGAGAGATAGGCAAAAAGGAGGGAAGAACCCAAATAAATAGAGGGCGAGAAGAAAAATAATTGGTTGAGAAAGAAAAGAAAATACTTTAAAAAGGCTTAGAAAATGAGACGTATGATTTTAAGGGTTATTTATAGCCTCAACCCTAACTCAAGGAATTAGATGTGGAATGTTCTAAAAATCTTAAAATTGAACGCAAATTGAAATGATAAAAATATTTTAAAAAAATAACATCAAATTCAAAATTAAAACAAAATACTTTAAAATATTCTCATCAGACATCAATTTTTTAAGTCTACTTGGTAATCTTTAAATCGTCTAGAATGTAATCTTCAATAATTCTTGTTCTTTTTTTCCCCCTTCCCAGTTAACCATTACTCCATATTCCATCAAAATTCCCATTCTTGTTCTCTGAGGAAATTATAACGGGGCAATATTATCACCTTCTGATCGAGGTTCTCATTTCAAATATTTTATTATTTAATCATTGAATCAAACTTCAAATCGCTTCATAATGATCTCTCCAGTCTCTTGCCTAAGTAGTTTTCTATTAATTCTTGATTGAGGCGATAGGTGAGGTAAGTAGTATAAATAGCAATGCACATAATTAAGATCTTCAAACTAAGCCAAGCAAACAAGCATTCTCACGTTTTTACCCAAAATTGTCCTCAGCAAGTCACACTTCTCAAATTATGTGTCCCATGGCCGATTTTAGTCCCAATATATAGCCATACCATTTCTTCAACTTTGCTTCTCCTCCTCTCCCTGGTAATTCCCCTTTTTCTTTCATGCTTTAAAGCACCTTACTTAA